CCTTTTAGATTTTCTAAATTAGTAACTTCACTAGCCCATTGTAATTATTTGTTCAGGTGGATCATTCGCCTACCTAAGAGTAGAACTAGGAGACTTCGTGGCATTCATAGCAGCGGGCAACATCCTCCTCGAATATATAATTGGCAACGCTGCTGTGGCCCGTTCATGGACTTCATACTTTGCCACTTTGTGCAATCACCATCCGAACGATTTTCGCATCCACGTTTCGTCTTTACCCGACTCCTACAACCAGCTCGACCCCATCGCCATCATTGTGATCATCTTCATTTGCACCTTGGCTGTAGCCAGCACCAAAGGCTCCTCCCGCTTCAACTACATTGCTTCCATTTTCCACGTTGCCATCATCCTCTTCATTGTCATTGCCGGCCTCACCAAGGCCAACCCGAAAAACTTCACTCCCTTTGCCCCCTATGGCCCTCGTGGCATCTTCGTAACCTCTGCCGTTTTGTTCTTTGCATACGTTGGATTCGATGCCGTTTCGACAATGGCTGAGGAAACTAAGAACCCTGCTAAAGATATACCTATTGGTCTTGTTGGATCAATGGTGATCACCACATTAGCTTATTGCATTCTTGCAGTTACCTTGTGCTTGATGCAGCCATACCAACAAATTGACGAGGATGCACCGTTTTCAGTGGCTTTTGAGGCTGTTGGATGGGGTTGGGCTAAGTACATTGTGGCTGCTGGTGCTATTAAAGGCATTACCACCGTGTTGTTGGTTAATGCTGTTGGACAGGCACGCTATCTCACCCACATTGCTAGAACCCACATGATCTCACCATGGTTCGCCAAAGTGCATGAAAGGACTGGCACTCCAGTGAATGCAACAGCCACAATGCTCGCTGCAACAGCAATAATCGCCTTCTTTACAAGCTTGGGAATCCTCTCGAACCTCCTCTCTATCTCCACCCTCTTCATCTTCATGCTGGTAGCCATGGGCCTGATCGTCCGACGCTACTACGTAGGCGGTGAAACGACACCATCCGACCGAAACAAGCTCATAATTTGTCTGGTTCTAATCGTGGGATCTTCAATAGCAACTGCCGTGTACTGGGGCTCAAGCGACGGCTGGATCGGTTTGGTGCTGTCCAATTCCGTATGGTTTCTCTCAACTCTGGCCCTATGGCTCGGTGTCCCACAGGCCAAAAAGCCTCGCGTGTGGGGCGTGCCGCTCGTCCCGTGGCTGCCTTCACTGTCGATCGCTATCAACCTTTTCCTTCTTGGCTCCATCGACAAAGCCTCATTTGAAAGGTTTGGAATCTGGACTGGAATTCTGTTGATTTACTATATCTTGATTGGATTACATGCTTCTTATGACTCGGTCATGGAGTCCAAGACTACAGCAAGAGAAGTTAATAGCAGTTTGTGAATGGATCTTTCGAATTTATAATGATTGGCTTAGTGCTTTGATTAGGGGATTTGTGGTTTATGTTTGTCATTGTGTTAGCTACCATTCATGTTGGCAAGGATGGTGGTTTGATTGTATATGTTTGAGCTCTCTCTCTACTTTGTCTGTACATTTAAAAAATTATAGCTAAACAAAACGCTATAATATGTTTTTTATAATGTTTTTTTTTTAAGATCTTGATGGTTGACGTTATTACAAGTTCAAGACTTTTTATTATTATTTTTGTGTAATTATAATAGATGCTATAAAAAATACAAAAAATTGCGAAAGTAAAGTATTGAATAATTTAAGAGAGAAGTTATTCAATTGATACGAGATAAATGGTTCACCTTATATAATTATCAACAACATTAATTAATTAGAAAAAATACAAAAATTCACAAGGGTTCAAGATGGTAGTAACATGTAGTTGAACTAGCCCTTTTTATTTTTTTATTTTTGTGTACGTTACTATTACGTTCACCTACATTGTAATGTTTGAGCCTGGTAGGTATGTAAGTTTCCCTAATTTTTGTGTACGTTACCATTTCATTCACTTACACTCTTCATTTAATGCTACTACGCTCTTCATTTTTGTGTTCGAGCCTGCTTCTTTTGTCGAGCATTTTCCTCCTTTCTCTATTATGTATTAGCCGAGTGATTGTTAATGTGTTCTTTAATTTCACCTCTTTTGTAGGGTATTTCTTTCTCACTTCTCAGTTTTATTGCTTGACATTGTTCCTTGCCCTCTCTTTTTGGCGTTTTGATGTCTGCTTGCTACTTTCCAAGATGTCTATTTCGTAACTCAGTTGCTAATTGACTCAATTGAACTTCCTTCATTACGCTCTCAAAAGATGTTCCCGATATGTGTCTTGCTTGGCTAAGTCTAAGAAAATAAATGGGGCTACTCTATGCATGTGTCATGGTCTCGAGTTGTGATGTCGTCGTCAGCCGTTCAGGAATGCCTTGCATTTACCTGAAATAGAAGTAGCACGTGGTGGCTTGAGCATTTTTAGAAATACTCAGTAAGTGACCCCACTATTGGGGTTAAATGATAACACATACAATTTCATGAAAGAGACCTATCATAACAGTCTATTTTCCTGCGACGGTCATCATAACGGGCAATTGGGATGTGTACTTAATTTTTCTACACATGGTTCACAAGTGCGAGTATTGACCCACCAGTCAGTTCGCACGCCTCCTAGGCCCCCTTTTTGATGGGGCGAGAATTCTCTAGTAGTTATTGATGTTAGACATCCGTTACAAATAGCGATCATCACGACAGCATTATGTTAACATAATGATCGTTCTCCTGTCTCGTAGTGTACGCGTCTGTACTATTGAGAAGGATAAGGGGTATCCCCCAATGCATGAGCACACAATAATGTATAAGGTCCCAACGTTTCTCAATTTTCATTATCATTTAATACAATCTCGCTAGCGTCTTCCATCATAACATATCTTTCATGTGTATGTCGGGGTTGTATCTCATGCTAGTTAATCGGTTTGTCTGTCAATCATAACATATCAATCATATTACATCTCTAGAGAATTCTCGAAACTTTTTCTCCAATTGTCTGTCAATCATAACATATCAATCATATTACATCTCTAGAGAATTCTCGAAACTTTTTCTCCAATATCTTTGGGATTTTCTTTCAAATAAATTGAACCTTTTAGCGTTACTAGGAGCTAGCGAGGGAACCTTATGGACCTACCGATTATAAGCTCCAATGATACAAAATTAATTAATTAAACTCTTTAATTAATCAATTTCCATTCATTAACTATAGGTCACTCCACTATAGACCTAGAGTTGCACTCTTATGCACTGTAGAACAAGTTATGTCCATCGATATAATCATTACAAGCAAGTCGATCCTTTACGAGTTGTTCATAATTACAGCTGGGTCAAAAGTCCGTTTTACCCCTATAATTACATCTTTCACCTGAAGTACCACTGATTCTCTAATGAACAATTTGTCTATGATCCAATCATAAACCAAGTCCCTCTCAGGCCAATGAGAGGGTGGGGCCCCATTGTTCAAGTCTCAAAATCAGTACTTAAGAAAACAACTCATCTACTCTCCTTGTATGGAACTTGTATGGAAAGGAGTGAATTTCATCTCATGATATTATGTTCCCAACTCCCTATTTGGTCAATTCTCCTAAATAGTAGGCATATTGAATCGGCTAAAATAGTCATTCTCGCCCATGTAAATTAAAGGACAAGCCCTCACAGGTAAGAGTTCGTAACTCACTCAGGATTAAGATCGAGTCGCATATGATCAACATGTGAAATATTAATCTTCTCAATTAATGGATTTATAAAGAGAGATTAAATATTTCTTGGTCAAGTCTCATACAAACTCATTGTATAGGATACCCCCAGTTACATGTCCTCACTTGAATGATTTGGATCAAATCATTTGTAACGATTACAAAGTGGGCCGTATCAATAGTGTTACTAGAATAAGGCACCCAACCTTATCCATATACTATAGACTCTTTAGGTTATTACTTGAACACGATCGTCTTGTATGTCAACCACATACTGTTCAAGATTACATTAATAACCTTGGATTTTCATATAATGGGTAACAATTAAATCACAAATAAAATAATATAAATTATTGTTAAAAAACTAAATAATTAATTACGAGGTTTTAGGGCATAAATCCCAACAATCATAACATTTCCATATTTCCAGACATAGCAATTCGAATCGTATACATATCATACCATAACATATCGTATCACAATATTTCATAGCATAAACATATCAATTTTTCACATATATCGTACCATAACATATATCATATCATTTTCGTATTGTATCACAACGTTTCATACTCATATCGTTTCCATATGCGTATCCCTGTCATATCGTTTTGCTAATCTTGTCATAGCCTTATCGTCCTTATACATCTCATAGTCGTATCATTTCATGGACATACCTTAGTCATATTATGGTCAGCATGATAATCATTTTCGTCTCATAGTGCACGCGTCCATACTTCATCATAAAGGGGAAGTATCCCGGTGCACGTGAACATACAAATATGCATGAGGTCTCCATATTTTTTTTTTTCGTGGCGTAATAAAACATGCAGAACAACCCTCATTCTTTGATCACATATCACACTCAATGTAACACCCCTAATATTCTTGCTTAAATTAGAGGCATCATCACATGAATGCCATAAATAACATATGTGGAAGTTTGAAATAAAATATTTGCAAATGAAGCCATGGACTTACAAGTTGAATTTAAAACAAGAAAATAGAACTAACATAGTCTTTGAACATGAAATATGAAATAATCATCCTACCAACTACTAAATGAAAATCAATGCATACTACTTCTCTATCATGATTTCTTCCATGGTCATTTTAGAATTCATGTCGTCTATGGAGGGGCGTTTTACCCTTACGTGAAAAATAAGGGTAGCATGTGGCTTGAATATTTTAAGAAATACTAAATAAGTTACTCCATTGTTGGGATTAGTAATGCAATACACACATTTAAGGATGGAAAATATCCTTAAAAATCGTGATTTGACCTTGGACTCTTTCCAATTCGAGACATGGTGGGATGCGTAAAGTGCAAATTCTGGGCCCAAGGCTCAATACATTAAAATAAACCCTAGGCTCAAGCCCAATACATTAAAAAATAAATCCTAGGTATCAGCCTAAATAAAGCCACCAAATCAGCCACCCATGTAATAGAGCACGAAGCCTAGCCTGGGACGAGCGAGCCACTCACAAAACCCTAGCCGCTGCCTTGTTCTGCCTCTTTATCATCATCTTCTTCTTCTTTAAATCTTGTTGCCGTCCATCGCTCGCGTTGTCCTGCCTCACCATCGCTCGCGCTGTCCTGCCTCACCATCGCCCACGCCGTCCCGTGCCGTCACCGCACGTCGGACGACCATCGCCAGTCGCCGTCGCGCATCAAATTGTCGTCGTTATCACGAATTGAACAATGTTGTCATCGCCAAAACCACTATTTGGAGGAGTAAACGTAACCAAGGTACAATGAGCCAACCAAATTTACAATGTGGTTTCTTTTTTGAATAGTTTGGATTTGACCCAACCTCTACGTAGGAAGAAGGTAAGCAATAAAACCCTATGATTTGTAGGAGTCGTTGTATCACGCCAAGTTGGGTTGGTTAAACTTGGGTGTTTAAATGTAGGCTCGATCTAAGTCGAAGTTGGACCAATATCTATAGGGACAATTAGAAAAGAAGCTCTCCAAGTAAGAGGTCTTCCTATTGAAACTTGACTGTTTTATTTTTCTACAAGGGTTGAATATGTTTTGTATTGTATGGTTGAGTGTTGTGTGATACGATGTATGTTGACTATAAAAATAAATGTTTGGAGACCTATTGCATGCATAATTATGTTTGATGATTGGGAATATCTCTGATGTGAGTAGTGTGACATAATGTCTGGTTGCTCATGAAAATATACAATTTTGGGACGTAATGCATGCATGTTACCTTTGATGGTAATCAGCCACCAATAGTCACTCTACGAGGTGATTTAAGAAAATGGTTATCAAGGTAAGGGTGAGGTGATTTAAGAAAATGGTTATCAAGGTAAGGGTTACACGCTATGTGTTTCGGGTAACCAACCATTGATAATCATTTTAAGGAGTTAGGATGGATGTTGATTTTCATGTGGTAAGTTTACACGTGTCTATCAGATAACCAGGCACTAATGGTCACTCTACGGGGTGATTGCAGTGAATGATTTACAAGGCAAGGGTTACATGCTATGTGATTCGGGTAACCAGCCATTGATAGTCATTTGAAGGAGTAAAGGTAGATGTTGATTTTTATGTGGTAAAAATTACGCGTTGTGAGTTTTGGTAATTAACCACTAAGATCCGTCAATTTTGTTTGATTGACATGTGATGGTTTATGTGTTTGATATCAAGTGGGGACACTTACTGAGCATTTCTTAAAATACTAAAGTCG